CTGGAATAAGCTACCTCCAGAGGTGGTGCAATCACCTACCTTGGAAATCTCCAAGAGAAAACTGAATGGTCACCTTACTGGTGTCACCTGACCAGTTGACTTTACTGCCTAGTACAGGGGGGCTGGACTCGATGATCTTGCGAGGTCCCTTCCAGCCCTGTACAGTTTATGAACCCACAGCATTAAAGCACTGCCCTGGTGCAGTCTGTCTCTCTGTAAGGGAAGAATTGCACATATTATTTTCCTCTAGTCAGAAAAGCAAGCAAATAGCAAGGCTGCTTCGCAGGTATTGAGCCTTGAAAATAAAATAGTTGAGAAGCACTGATGTTATAAAACTGATAATTTAGGGTGTTAAAAGTATTCTTCTAAAAGCCCATGGACAGAGCTGAGTTAGCAAATCTGTTATTCTCTTCAACTTAGTTTGCTTTTTAGTAAAAGTCTCTACATTGTATTGTCTAACTTTGGATACACTAATTATAACTGTACTTAAGGATAATTATCAATATCATAGTTTCCTGTCTTATGTGTACGGTGAGTTTTGAACCTTAAACCATGTTCTTCAGTAGTGCTATAGACTACATGAGAAATTATTCACTACCTGGTTTCTTGGGCAGAATGTTTTCTTTGCATTAGTTGAGAAACTGCTAGAGTCAGGATTGCACATTGCAGATTTTTAGGTGGAAATTTAAAGAAAACATTTAAAGGGATCTTTTGAGATTGTGGGCCTTGTTGCATTAAATGTAGGCCGACTTGAACACTAGCAGACTATTATGTATAGAAGCCTTTACATTTGCATTGTGTTTGTTTGTATAGTCAAAATGAAGTTCAATCCTTTTGTGACTTCGGATCGCAGCAAGAACCGCAAGCGGCACTTCAACGCACCTTCTCACATTCGCAGGAAGATAATGTCTTCTCCCCTTTCCAAGGAACTGCGGCAAAAATACAATGTCCGCTCTATGCCCATCCGAAAGGATGATGAAGTCCAGGTAAATGCCTGTTTTGCCCTCATATAGTGTTAGAGCCTTGTAAATATTTTGTTTTCATGTAGTAGTAAAGTGGGGCCAGTCAAGGCGGGCATGGGATGGAGCTGCAGCTTGCCTGGGAGGCACAGGGCGGAGGGGGCGGCTCCCACTGCTGCATGCCGCTCATCCAGAGGCAGCAAAGAGGTGCCGTCCCATCCCACCCCGCCCCGCCCCAGCTGGGTGAGTGCTGGCAGGGCATAGCTTCCACTCCCAGAGCAGGAGTGTGGTGCAGCCCTGGTCTTGCCTGCCCTGTGCAGATCCAGGGGCACATGGCTCCCCTCTCCACCCCCGACAAGCAGTGGGAGCTACCTAATAAGCAACTCCCGGATCAGCAGCGGGAGCTGCCCCCATGGCCCCTGAACAAGCTGTGCTTTTGTTTCGTGCCACCCCCAGGCTGGCTGAGCAGTGATTGCCCCAGTCCCTATCCAGCCCCTACCCCAATCCCTCCTTTGCTATGGGGGTATTGATCTGCCTCCCCTGCCACACCTCTTCCCTCCCCTTCCACCACAACAGACTTACCAGCTGGACACAGCTGTATTGTGCATTGTAAAGTTGAAACCTGTGTCAGAACCTCGAAACATGGTGTCGGTTTAAAAAGGTTGTAGGTGCTGTTTGTCGTAAATCAAAAAGTCTTAGTCGAGGACTGCTTGTACATGTGTTTTGGGGTGGGGAGGGAGCAGCCTCAAGAGCTGCTCTAATTAAAGTGCCCAGAGTGCCTTGTGTATCAGCTTAAAAATGACAGCGGGGGCACTTTATGTAAAACTCATTTGAAGTACCCCCGCTGCCACTTCTAAGCATGGGGGCGCTGATGCACGAGATGGTGGAAGACTGCTGGAATGCAGCAATTACCACGCTACAGCAGACTCAATTAATTGTAATTACAGTATGTTGGAGCAGCCTCGCTGCTCATGTATTAGGTGCCCTGTATTGGAAGCTTCATGTAAGACAAACTTACATTGAAGGAGCTGCTTTTCCTTCAGTTTAAATCATCAGACACTTAATCTTTCTATTTTGGTACTGCACCTGCAGTAAAGATGCAATTTCCTACTGTTTTTGTGCCTTGCTGAACATTATGTTGTCTGGAGTTTGATTGCAAGATGTTATTGTAGTGTACACATGCAAGGAGCAGAACTGGGATTTCAACCTGGGCAGTTTTGAATCACGCACGTGGTTAAGATCATGATTTTCAGGGAGGTGTTATTTCCAGTAGTGGAATCCATAAAATTTTAATAATGCTTCTTTTATTGTTCAGGTTGTCCGGGGACATTACAAAGGTCAGCAGATTGGAAAAGTAGTCCAGGTATACAGAAAAAAGTACGTCATCTACATAGAACGTGTACAGCGTGAGAAGGCCAATGGCACAACTGTCCATGTGGGAATCCACCCTAGCAAGGTATGGTACATAAAGCAGAGGAACTGAAATGCCCACAGGGGACTCTGGAAGGAAATAGGTGCAGCCTGCTGAGGTAGAATGCTCTCCTAGCATGGAGAATGGCCTGAGAAGTAACAGCTTCAGCATAACTGAGCAGGAAGGACATAGTAGCATGGTCAAAGCAGGGAACTAAGAGCTACAACTCCTAGGCCATGCGTGCCAGTTAGTGGCGCACAGATGTTTTTCTTGGCATGCCAGGAGATGTGAGAGGAAATTGTTTTAAAAATATATTTTTTTTTTTAAGTTGCTGCTCCGGGCTCTCTGGAGCAGCCACAGGTCCCAGTGTCACGGCAGACACTGTGTTAGGACTCAGAAAAACACAGCCAGGGACGCTGTCTGCATTCTGCTGACCCTGTCCCTAGGCTGTGCCCCCCAGCCCCGCCCAGCCCCTGGAGGGGAGCTGCAGGGGGCTGGGGCCCAAGCAGGTGCTGGGGAGGGCAGCTGTGCCAGAGGCTCATAGCTGGCTCAGCCCTGAGTGCTGCCCACGGCAACTGTTCCCAGGGCCCCTTACCAGGGGTGGCTCTAGCCCACTTTTGCTGTGCCTGGCACGCAGGGAGGCTTACCCAGGAGCCTCCCAAGCCCTGTGTCTTGGCCCTGTCAGGCAGTGTTCCCTCATGGTCAGGGCGGCTGCGGCCCATCCCTGTGGAGCTGCACAGGCCAGACTGGGTGCCTCTGTCTGGTGTGGCCTGAGCTCTCAGAGCCCTGGGGCAGCCCCCACTTCCTGCCTGGCCCCACTCTAGCTGCTGCGTTATTGAGGGCCTGGCTGGGCCAGCTAGCCTGCCGCGCCTCCCCCCGCACCTACTTCTTTTTGCACTGCCTGGACCTGAGGCCGATCCCACTGTGGTGGGACAGGACGTCTGTCTGCCTGAGGTGGGCCCAGGGCTTGCCCACCTGCTGGGAGCCTCCAGCATTGTGGCCCTCTGCATTGCCTGACCAGCCCCTGGCTTCTTCCGTGTGCAGCTCCCCTCCAGGGGCCAGGGCCTGAGCAGGTGCTGTAGAGGGCCACTATACTGGAGGCTCCTGGCCAGCTTGGCTCCAAGCACTGCCCAATGGCAGCTGTTCCCAGGGCCTGAGGGGCTCCCGTGGTTGGGCCCTTACACTGGGGGTGGCTCTGGCCCACTCTCACTGTGCCCAGCGTGCAGGGAAGCTGAGCCTGGAGCTGGGAGCCACGCAAGATTGGCGTCCTTTCATGGGCAGGGGGACTGCAGCCTATCGCTGCAGAGCTGCATGGGGCAGGCCCCACCTTGGGTGCTGCTGGGTGCCCCCACCCGTTGCAACCCAAATCTGCGGAGCCCGGGGGCACCTTCTGCCTCCCACTCAGCCCCCTCTGTCGTCTAGCTGCCGCCTTCTCAAGGGCCTGGCTGAGCTGACCTGCCCATATCTCCCCCTGCATCTGCTTCTCCCCATTCCCTTTCCCCTGCTCCAGCCAGCCTGGACTCTGCCCCGAGCGCCCAGCCTTGGCCACTCCAGTGCCGCCCCTGCCCAGATGGGACAGGACATCTGTGTGCCCAAGCCCCAGCTGGATCCCTCCTCCCAGTCCTGGGCTCCCCCACCTCTAGAACCGTCAGGGAGGCTTGAGCACCCTGGTCATAGTGGCTGCTGTTGGGGTGTAACTGTCTCCCTCCGCCAGATACTGCCCTGGACCAGTGGGCATGAGCCATAGTCAGTAGTGACGGGAGATGTGGCTGGTGAGGAACATGCCCTCTTTTTTCTCTCCTTTCTTTCTCTGTCTTTTTCTTCTCTTCTCTCCTTTTCTTTTTTCTCTCCTCTTTTCTTTCTTTTCTCTCTTCTTTCTGTTCTTTTTTCCTCTCCCCTCTTTTTGTCTCCTTTTTCTGTTTTTTTCTATTCTTTTTTGCCTTCCCTTTCTCTTTTCTTTCTCTTTTCACTTCTTTTTTTCCTCGTCTTTCTCTCCCCTTTTTTCTCTTCTTTTTGTCGTCTTTTCTATTTTTTCTCTCCCCTTTTTTTCTTTTTCCTTTCTCCTTTTTTATCTCTCCTCCTTTTTCTGTTGCTCATCTTGCTTTTTTCTTTCTTTCCCTCTTTTTTCTCTCACATCACAACACGCTTAACAAAAAAGAATACACAACAACAAAAGTAGTATATCAAGTTTTATTTATTGTCACCAGGTTTGGAATTTTTAGAAAAACTGGTATTTACTGTAAAAAAGAAAAAAAAAACAATCTTTATGATTAACTATATTAGCATGCAGTGCATCCTGCCGTGTATGCCCCCCCCGTTTTTGTTTTTCTGGCATGCTGGCACTCTGACACCTTACAAGGTAGACATTGCAGTTGTTTCAGCACCCTGGCCAAAAATGTTTCCTGCTCCTGTCCTGGATTGTTTTCTGTTGTGTGTGATATGATTTTAGAGAAGTTGCCTAAGGTGAACTGCAGGCTCTTAGTAAAGTGGAAAAAGGCCTTTAGAAGAGTTTGGCTGTAGTGAAAGGCAGAACAAAACATTAGTCATGTATTTCTTTAAAATATCATTGCTGAAGCTAACATTTTGTGGGAACATCTCTGCAATGGTTCATTCTCACAAAGTGGACTGATCTGCTACTGGTGATGTTACACATGAGAAATGTCTAAATAGACACTCCCTTAAATGAATAATGCAGACTAAAAACCACTGGCTAAATCTGGCTTCAACCTAGCAGGGTTTATAAAGATGTCAGTGAAGACAAAGCAAATGCTTATTTAGTTTATTATGTATAAAATAAAAAGGTAGGGAATAACAGAACAGGCCAGAACCTAGTTTGAGTGGGATATAACAAGATTTTTTGCCTGGACCACATTGCCCAGGCAGGTGTACTGAAGTTGGTGAGTGAAACCCAGCTCCAGCAGGTTGCAAAAAGCCCTCCTACCAGGCTTCATGTACAATACAGAGAGAACAAGGTCATTTCTGAAAGAACACACAGACTTGTCCAATAATGTTGCCTGAATTTAGGTAGTGTTATGATGGGAATTGCATGCATGTCAACAGCACCTGCTGTAGAGGTATTATATCTATTGCAGTGTATAAATTCTTAATTGGTACTCATTAGCACAGTGTCTGTGTATCTTTCAGAGCCACATCAAGCACTGTGACTAATGTCTGTCACATTGGTTCTGTAATTTTTCCCTAGTTGTGGGAGAGATGCATATAGTGGAATATTTTATTAAATGTAAATATTTTAAGCATTTGCTCTTGTTCAGAGAAGACAAGGTCAAAAAAGTGCCTAGCACTTAAAGTAGAAGGAAGAGTGAATTTCTGTGGAGGTTCAATCCAGTTTGAGCCAGCCCCGGAACTGCTTTTGTTTTTTTCCATAAAGCGTCAGCTGTAAACACAAAGGGGGGAAAAAGGACTTTCTAATTGTGCTGTGACCTTGCAGTAGAATAACTGGGCAGTTTACTTATTGCATGGGTGTCAAGCAGGAAGTTTCCTTCATATTTCAGTTATGCTACATTTTATGCTTTCAGAGTTAGCAGGAACAGAATGAAACAGGCTGGAATTATACAACTTTACCGTAGATCTGTTATGCAGTTGCTTAAAAAAAAATTCAAGAATTTAGACCTTGCAAGTGTCAATGTGTTGCATGCTAGGAGAAACAGACCGCATCTCAATAGCTTACCTTTTTGGCTTCACAGATTTTCCTCATGGCTTTTATAGCACTCCTTCCTGTAATACCCAGGCATTTTAATTCCCTGCTAATTGTGGAGGGAAGGAAAATAGTGCAGGTAGGCTGGAAGCTGGAGTCACTCTTACTATGAAATAATTTTGGAAATCTAGAAAAAAATTAGTCTTGTCAAGTAATCATTACTGTATCCCCAGGTTAACGAGTCTTAAGTGCCTGGCTAAACTATAGCTCTGACAGCAGCCATGTGTCTTTTGGCAGTGTATGCAAGGGCTGGTGAATCTTAGCTCAAGGAAGACCAGTAAAATGGTAACTGGAATGTCACTTGCTGTTATTAGCAAGGATCTTGTAATGGGTCAGCGTAACATTTATATTTTGAAAATAGTCTGCGTGTTAAATAAGTGCATGGGCTGCACTTTCTTTTGCTATATCAGTAGTATTTTAACAGCCATTGGGTACCCAGTTTGGGGGGACACTTTGGCACTTGGCAAAGGAGAAATCAGTATTGTGAATGCTTTACTTTAACCTTATTTTGGTACTTTTAATAGTGACGGAAGCTTTCTCGGAAAGTTGTTACACATTCTCAGAACTGCAGCTGATTATATAGATTGTGATGTGGCCCCTGGATCAGAATTCTGTGCTGCATCCCACTTTGATACAGTTTGTTAGTTTGATTGGTTTTATCAGGTAACACCCTTTATTGGAGAAATCTCAATGCAGTGGAGCAGCTTTAGTGATGGATCTTAAAGGAAAGGAAGGGTGCATGCTCTCTTCTTTGCTGAAAAAACACTATGTTGATATGACCTCTGGTATAGTGGAGCTTTGATTTTTTCTAGTTTCATTCCTTCAGTGGTTGGACATTTTGAACTGCAACCACTTCAGCACCAAGAAAAATCCTAGCTGCAGCTATGGCAGAACCAGTTTAAAATTAAAATACAGTTTATTCCAGCACAAAGGCATTGTCAGTTTCTGAACACTAGTTATTCTAGAATCCTGTGTAGCTTGATGTTTGAAATGTGCATGGACATCAGTATCTGGGCTAAAATATGTAGGTGGTAACCCTGGGAAATTAATTTTGGATGCATTGGCATGAGAGGAGCCAGTGGGTTCACCATTGCTCTTGTCACATGTTCTATTGCATTGGCACTATTCTGCCAGTTTGCAGGTACTTAAGTTTATCTCGTCTTGTCTTCTAGGTGGTGATCACAAGGCTAAAACTGGACAAAGATCGCAAGAAGATCTTGGAACGTAAAGCGAAATCTCGCCAGGTTGGCAAGGAGAAAGGCAAATATAAGGAAGAAACCATTGAAAAGATGCAGGAATAAAAGTCTCCTGTGTGACACCATTAAAAGAAACTGCTAAAACAAAATCTGTTGTTGTGTGTTCTGCTTCTGGAAATCTTTAATGCATGAACTGGTGTTCAAATCCTCCTACTGTTCTCAAATTTCCGTACTTGGTACTAAGAAGATTGTTTCTATTATTACAAAATACAAGCTTTCAAAAGTTTTAAATAAAGATATTTTTTCATAATGTATTGTTCTTTGAAAGCTTTTACAAGTAATTGACCGCATTTAGTACTAATGTAATACTTTGTACATACAGCTCTTGTATTGTCAACACCCCCCCCAAAAAAGTGTCAGTAAAGACAGGCTTCCTGTACTGAAGATTTTATGATCAAAGTGAGAACAGCTGTCCCCAAAATCCACCATCATCTGTAGCAGCTGAATTAGAACAAGCAGGAAGACTGGTACTTAGACCCCTGCACTAATCAGTTGTTTCTTAAATTTATATTTTTAATAAAATTTCATTACATATTTGTAAGAATTCTTGGAGTAGCAAAAAACTATTTGTTTCTGACTACAGTCTGCACTGCCTACTTTCACAGGCAGGTGAAGCAGGCTTCAGTTTTACCTTACCAAACTTTATTTCCTTTCTCATAAAGGAGGCAAGACCACACCCCTGTAACCTTGTGCGCCATTTTGATTAACTCCTTTCTTTAGAAAGAAATTAGTATACACCTGTAACAGAAATTGATACAAGAGATATAACAGAAATCGAGTCCAGTGTATGTACTTGAAATGCATGCACTTGAATTAAGGAGTTTTCTGCCGGGGTGCAGAAGAAAAGGGGAAACACCAGTCAAGTGCTGTGCAGTGACTCGGCTCTGGAGAGCCTGTACACTGGTACAAAACGCACCCTTGCGCTGCGCAGTTGCTTGATCGCATTTATTTGCCCGATTCCTCAGAACACCCTGGTTCAGGACGGGGTTTCTGTAAGCAAAAGCCTGCTCAGAAATGCGCCACGCACCGCGATGGAGCTGAGCGTGGCAGACCGGCGCCTTCGACCCCCGACTCACGTGCAGCCCACGTGACGTCCTCAGGCTCCGCCCCTCGAGGTGCCTCCCTTGGGGGTGGGGGTTGCGGAAGTCAGCGCCCTGCCCCCTGCTTTCCGTTCTCTCGGGGCGGGGACGGTGGTAGCCAATGGCAGAGAAGCAGGGAGGCCGGAACGGCCTCTTTCCCCGATCACGTGGATTCCTGAGCAGCCTCACGCTGGCGTGACGCGCCCGGCGCGGGTTGGCTGGCGGCGTGGGGGGTGGAGCGCTGTGGCACAGCTGCGGCGGCGGCGCTGGGGAAGGAGGAAGCGAGCTCGGGTAGCCATGGCGTACAGCGGTCTGGTGGTGCCCATCATCGTAATGAGCGTTTTCTGGGGGGTCGTCGGCGGCGTCCTGCCCTGGCTCGTGCCCAAGGGACCCAACCGCGGGGGAGTGGCCCTAGGCCAGGCCTGCCCGCGGGTCCAGCCCGGAGAGGGCTCGAGGCTGGGCCTCAGGGTGCTCGGCCCCTCCTTGCAGCTTCAGCCGGGGTCCCGAGTGCCCTCCTCGGCCCTGGGCGGTGAATTAGCACTCTAATTAAAACTATTAAAATATTGTAAAAACTGTGACGTTATTATGATTTAAAAACGCAGCTTTGCCTTATCGGCAGTAGCTTGTCCTGGCGCTGAGCCCTCTGCCCGTGCGTGGTCTAGGGCCAGCACTCGCCTTTCTCACGCGCCCGCACCTGGGCGCTCCTTCCAGACACGTCCCATTTTTTTGGTCTGGTTCCTGGGTGCGGTGCAGAAATGACTCCTCATCACCCACCTCTTTCCTTCTTCCCCCACAGGGTGATCAACACGATGCTGGTGACCTGTGCTGTTTGCTGCTACCTCTTGTAAGTACCGGTGCCACGTTGCGCCCCCTGGGGCAGGTGCCAAATCAAGGCGGTTCACGGGGAAGTAGGCCTGGATGGGACCTCGCAAGGTCATCTAGTCCAGCCCCCTGCTCACGGGAAGACTGTCTCTGACTAAACTATCCCAGCCAGTGTGTGTCCAACTTGCTCTTGAAAATTTCCAAGGGTGGAGTTTCCACAATTTCTCTAGATAGCTGGTTCCAGTGCTTGACCACCCTCCGGTGCTTGAGTCACTCGTGTAGTGGCTCAGCAGAAAGATAGAGCCTGGGCACTTCTGCCAAGGGATCTGTATGGTGGCCTGCTTGGTCCTAGCACTCATTATTATTTAAAACTGCAGGTCAGCTTGGTGTTAGTGTCTGAAACGTCCCTCTGGTACTGCTGCCGAAGTGCCATTATGCTTCAAAGCCCAGGTAGAAGGCTGCTGCGTTCACCAGCTGAGTAAATCTTGGGGGAAAGAGTCTAGCAAAGTCTCTTAAAAGTTCGTGGCGCCTGTACAAGTCAGAAGCTCCCTCGGTGCTCTCAAAAAGCCTCCCTCTGGATGGGCAGTGTGTTCAACCGAGTCTAGATCAGTGCTTTTGAACTTGACTACTTCTCATCTGCTGACTTGGCATTCTTCAGCACATGCTTCGTGATGGCTTTTCAGGTCTGAAATATCTGTTGACTGCAGTAGGCAATTTATATGTAACTGTTGTGGCAGTGACAGGTCACCAGTGCTTAATCTTTATGATGTTGGGGACCCTTGACTGTTGAAATCAGTGTCCTGCCCCTAGCATAAGAAGGAATTGTTGTGATAATGCCAGAATCACTGAATGACTGGTTTCCCATAAGATCTTTCCTCGCCTTGGTTGTATCAGAAAGGATCCCAGATCCTATTTCCCATCCTCCCTGCCAACCTGACATTGTCTGTGCCACTAGTTTAAAGCCAATGTGCAAGGTCCTGAGCACAAGCAGCATCTAGAAGCTTGTTAGCAGAGTCTGCAATGAAAAGCCTGAATTCTGCAAAATGTTTGCTGCTTCTTAAAAGGGCTTTTTGAGTGAGATTAAAGTATCAGGCCATTTTGGCTAAGTATTTTGTTTCCGCATAAATATCTGCTGTTATGGAGATTAAATTGGCATCACTTTTTATGGGCATATTTTGCCAGGTACTTTGTTCCTAGGTCAGTGATATGACAGGTATGCTTGGGAGCGCTCACGCAAACTTTTGCTTACAATGGTACATTGTAATGAACTTGCAATAAATACCTGGAAAAAGAGAGAGGGAGGTATCTCAATATCTGAGGCACTAGGTCCAAGGACTGGCAGCACAAAGCCATCCTTTGAGTGTCTAGTTACAAATAATACAGGACAGCTTGCTTCAAGAAAGGTCTGTCGTGTTCCATTGTGGTCTGGCTTGAGGTTCAGGCTTAGTGGTTTTGGCTTGGTTTACTGCTGTGATATCCAGCATTGTTTTGGTTCAACCTTGTTTATGATTCAACAGGTTTCAAGTCCGTCTATTCTAAAAATGTATTTACAGAGAAAGGTCTGTACAGAAACAGAGTATCCTGACAACTAAATTTACAATGTATTCATCATTCCTTTGTGAACTTTAATAGTATTGTACTTGCCCACAAAATGCATTAACTTAACTTAGTTATTGCATCAGCAGTAGAACACATTTGGTATCATCAAATAGATGGCTTGACATCAATCTTAAAATACTTCTTGCTTGGAAATCCTATTTAATGATTAGTGCATATGGCTTGGGCCACTTCTACTGTTTTGGTCGAGGCACTAATAGGTACTATGATGCCAAGTTCTCAAAAACATTATATGGGAGGTTCCTACTTAAACCAGATTGTCTCTTGGCTGTCAGGAATTGGTGGATGCAGTATATTTCCATTGCTTTGCTTTACAGAATGGCTGAGGCTTATATTATGCAAACCTTATTTCGTTAAATGATTCCCCATATATGCCCAATTGCTATGACTTCATGACTGTACACTTGTATACACAGTCAGTAGAAGTGTTTTCCCAACTTCCTTCCTGTGTCTGAACACATTTGCCAAATCAAAATTCTTAAGTATCCCTAATGCGTTCCTCTTATTTTACTGTTAAAACTTCCTCTGTTTAAACTATAAACAAAGGAAGTCAAGGTTATGCTTTGAAATAAAGGGATCATAGTATAACTGTAGGGATTTTTGATTATGATAAGAGCCATATAAATATAATAAACTAAACATACTGTCTCTCTGTAGGCAGACATAGTAACTAGGGTGCTGTTTTGGGGTGCCTATGAATATATACTTGAGTCTCCTTCCCTGGTGAATGGGGCTGTAATGTGTTGTGGAGCAATCACTTAAGCCACCTGGCAAGATGGCTGGCTGCTGTGCAAGTGCCTGGGTGAGACTGGGCTGTGAGATTCTTTCTTACTAGTGAGTCATTGCTGAGTTTGTCTTGAAGGAAAGCAGTGGTTCTGCATCTTGAGGTTTGCAGCACTCTGCCCAATTCTTGCTCTCCCAGCCAGCCTGACACTGTCTGTGCCACTAATTTAAGGCTTGTGCATTCAAAGTCCTGAGTCCAGGCAACTCTTAGAAGTTGGTGACAGCTGAGGATGTGTAGCATGCTAGGAAACAAGGCATGAAGGAGTAACTGATCCAAACTTCTTATCTGTAAAAGGGAAACCTTTATCCCAGTTCTCAAGTGGAAGGGATTGGTTCAGATATTGACATAGCTTAGCACAGGGGTAGGCAATGTTTTTTGGCCGGAGTGCTGAAAAAAACCACAATGTCTACCTTGGAAGGTGCCAGAGTGCTGGCATGCTGGAGCCTGGAGCCTCCCAGCTGCAGCTGGCCCACGGAGCCCGGTCAGCTTGCAGCCTCCCAGCCACCTGCTGGGAGCAGCCTGGGGTCTGTGGCTGGCAGCAGCTGCTTAGAGCTTGGGCTGGCAGTGGTGTGCCAAGCAAAATGGCCTTGTATGCCATGCTTGGCATGCGTGCCAGGGTTTGCTGACCGCTGGCTAAGTGGGTGCTGTAGTGGACTGGCCAGTGAAAGATCTACTCTCAACTGTTAAAGAGAGGTAGATAAAGGAAATTAGCTATAACACAAGTAAGTGCAGTGTTTAGGATTATTCTCTAGCTTTCTCCAGTTCTTCATGAGGAATAAGAGAAGTAAAGTATTGTGTGAATGCTTCAATCAGGTATTGCTTGCTTGAATGCAATCAGTCATTTGGAATTACATATTTGGATTCAATTCATAGAAATGTACAGGAAAGAACCTGTCTCGCTGCTCCAGGTGGCATTGTCTTATAATGCTATGTATCTGTGAATTAAACCTTTTATATGTAACAAAGTGGAATGTATTAGTCCTGTTGCAGTGTTAAGAAGAAGCTATTGCAAAACCTATTACTGGTATCAGAATGACATCGATATTAGTGCATTGTCTCAAGGGCAGTCTTCTGCCCTTGAAACTTATCTGTGGGTGACAGTGGCTGTCACTTAACTTTCATGAAACTTTTTTTCTAATTTTTTTTTTTTTAAATTCTGAACTGAACAAAATAGCTTTCTTTTGTGATGGCTCCAGCAGATGCAAAACAACTTCAAAACCTTCTGGCTAAATATTATTTGTCTCTTTGGAATTGGTCAACTGTATCCATATTAATTAGGTGTATGCTAGTTTAAGCTCTTAAATAGAAGCTACTACTCATTGATAAATAGAGGAAAGCCATTTACCCCCTGGTCATTTATGTTAAGTTGGTTGCGTGAAATTCCCCATCAAACAGCCTGTACGCATGGATGCTTGCACATAGCAGACTGCCAAGGAAGGGCAACCCAAACCTTGGGAGGCATGTGGGACATACAGAAAGAATAATGATAATCTTAACAATAATACTTTTTGTAGGACCTCCCATCTAGAGACTCAGCTTGTTTTTCGAAGGCTGGCAGGCATTTGATAGAATAATTAGGAATAGTATTTGTTTGTGCAGGGTTTTGGACCAACTGAACCTTGAGGTCTCTTCCAGTTGTGCAACTCTGTATATCAGGTTTTGAACCCCTTGTGAGGCAGAAGACAGCACCAGTATAGGAGCACACAGCTGCACTATTCGGATTCAGTGCTGAAATTTAGGAATAATTAATCAGTTCTGTCATTACAGGGGAGTGCTAGGTGGGCTGAATGTAATTACCCAAACTGAATCTAAACAGATATCAGAGCTTTCACTCTTATCCTGCAGTAGCAGATGGTATAGTCATCGTCTTAGTAAGAGCCACAGCAGCTAGGATCACTCTGAAATTGATACACTAAAGTGATAAGGTTTTACTTCCTTTGGTAGAACAGGAGGGACTTTCAGCTCCTTGCATGCACTGGTTAACTGATGCAGATTAAGGCAGGAGGTATTCTGTGGAATTTGTGGTGGTTTGAAAGTCATACCTGCGTTTAATAATACTAAAACAGCACATGATAGATACAGAGACTTGCTTTGTTGTGCACTGAATGCCCCATTTTGTTGGGATACTTCATAAGATAAAGCAACACTCTGCAACTGAAATGTGTGGGGAAGTTTTCCATAATCCTGTCTTGGGAGGGCAATGAACTCAATGCCCTCCCATCTCCTACTCTGCTGTCAGTGATCAAACTCCTGCATTGCAGGGAGGTAGTGAAGCTAAAGATTCATCTAAGTATTGATTGATAATGCCACTGTGCCTCAGAACTGTGTATGTATCCAGCCTGGTCCCAGCAGAGCTTTTGAAACCAGCTCAGTGTTTACCTGGTGATACAGCTGTAGATATGGCAATGTTCAGAATGCGCTTCCAGCTCACTTGTTTCGCAGCAGTGCTGGGTCTGATCTCTGGAAACCTTGGAAGAGGCCTTGGTATGTGTGCTAATACAGACAGTTCCTTTTTTTTGTGCAGCAGAAAGAAACAATTATCTTGGAAGATTGTAGTGTTCCCATTTCTACTCCCTTATTTCAGAAAGTTAATGACAGGTGGTATAGTGCTTGGGCACCCTTCTCATATGGGTTTGTATCTAAAAAACAACTTGTAGGTGGGCTCCAAACAGTCTCGCTGAAGGTGGGAGGGAACTTGTCAAATTGCTACTAAACATTTGTGCAATTAGTCTGATGGTAGGAAGGATTCAATATCCAAAAGGGATTGGGCAGTTTACTTTTTACCAGGGAAGTTCAACTTGATGTCTGATGCTAACGGTGTCACCCGAGATGGCAAGATAAGAGCATTTCATTTCGTAAGTGAGAGTGAATTGCTGATTTTTTGGTGTTCTCTAGTAGATGTTAACACACTTTACACAACCTGCCACACATTTTTAGCATGGATGATTGATTTTTGTTTGTTTGCCTGCAGTATTCCCAGCATATTGGGATGGTTAGGATGTTGCAGGCACAATGTTTGACTCAAGCTAGCATCCTCTTTGATTTTGAGCTATAAAAAAAAATCAAAATATACAAATATTTGTTTTCTTAATGCTAAGAGGATTGACATTCCTTTTATCTCATGCAGATCTCTGTCTGTGGCTGTGGTAGCCATTTTGCAGCTGCCGTGCACTTCGTTCATTGGTCAAAGCATCCAGGTTTGCATGGAATTTTCCATGACTGCCTAAGCAGCCTGATGCATTTGTGGCAGCTCCCATTACAAAGCTGCTGTGCTTTTTCTTCTCCTTACAAAGCATTCTAGAAATAGCAGGCAGATGAGCTGGTGCATTCACTAAACACGCTTATATAGTTTGGATTTAGACCTATATAAAATACTTAAAACAGTCCATGGCTTTTTCTGAATCTGTAGCATTTACAAAGCAAGTACATCTTGTAACGGTGAAGTATTTCTGTTAAGCTTTCCTGGATCTCTTCCACATCCCAAATTCCTCCTCTTTTCTGTTCTGGCTGTGGCTTCTGCTGGGTTAGTTTGTCACTGCTCCGATGAGGAAGCTGTTCCTGCTGATGTGGGGTTTGTTATCCTATTGACATTGTTCCAGTACTTTTGAACCCTCTTGCTCTAGACATCCATTTTTCCTAACCTTTGATCTAGGTCTACATTTTTCCTTTGCTCAAGTTCTTCTAGCCCCAACACAGTTTTCACAAGGTGAAGATGGGAGAATAGGGTTACTTTTTTTTCCCCTCTGAATATGGCAACAAATGGAATCAGTTGATGCATATGATTTTCTTAACCCTCCCTTTAGCGGGTCAAAAGGTGCTTAGTAAACATCAAGCCTTGCATTTCTGATTCATACAAGTATCGTTTACCTATGTGAGGGGAACCTGTTGTTTGACTTCTTGCCCATATGACAAAGCAATTCAAGAATTATCTCCCAACTCCTCTTTCTGTGCTTTAATTGATAGACTCTGTTCTTTCACTTGGGCGTTGCCTTAATATTTTTTTTGACCGGCATAAATAAGGCTGTGGTATAAGCTTCCTTTTGTATTATGTATAGCCAATGCTCAGCATAGTTATAATTTGATTGAATGAGACTAAAAAGCATGTTCATTTTGGAGTTAGCTTACTTTAGTGACGTGCCCTGTCCCACACCTCTTAAGAGCAGGGGTTCCCAACCCCAGGCTGGTTCCGGGCTGCAAAGGGTTGGCTGCCGGACTGGAAGTGACCGTGGATTGGAAAACTGCAGACTGGAAGTGACCAGCATACTGTGGACCGGCAGCCAACCCTTTTTTATACTGAGTACTAAAAAGGGTTGGGTATCTGCCCGCAGTATGCCTGTCACTGCTGGTCCATGGCTGGCTGGTCCACAGTTTGCCAGTCCTCAGCACAAAAAGGTCAGGAACCCCTGTCTTAGAGGCCTTGAGTGGCTCTCAGGGAAGGTTCATGTTATGGTCTGGGAAGATGATGAATATGTTGTGGGGTACTTGTTCTCCAAAGGAAAAAGTATATTAAAGAGACTTTCCATTTGCCTCTAACAGTGTCATTTGGAATCAGACAACAGCACTGAGACCAAACATAGTTTTTAGCAGCATCTGATGCTTGAAACTTGGATGAAAGTTGGAGGTTTAGGAGCATAGGCTGTGCCATGTTTTGATTTGGTGTTAGACCTTCAGTGTTGTCCATCCATTGCCCTCATAGCTTTTGGCCAAGTTTCCATCCTCCATATTCCTGATGTCTCCTATGTTTTGTCTTCAGTTGGCTGATTGCGATCCTGGCCCAGCTCAACCCTCTCTTCGGACCACAGTTAAAAAATGAAACTATCTGGTATCTTAAACATCACTGGCCTTAAGGTCCTCTGTCTTCTGCCACAGCTGTTTGTGGATTAGGTAAGTGTGGTTGGAGTCCTTTCATTTTATCTTTGTGGGGAAGGCTCAAGAGGTTCCACTTGAGGGACAGCTACCCTGTGTTTTGGTGATTCTCAACCTTTTTAGACTCGAGACATCCTTCATAACTCTGTGAATTGAGCAGCACCCCATTTAGAAAACTAATAGTATTTTTACCTGCTTGAAGATAGGCTGGGAAGGAGGAACAGCAGCCAGCAGGGAAGAACCTGCTCTAATAAGTGGGGGCAGGAGAGCAGCTGTAAGGGAAGAGTTTGCACTTTTCTTCTCAAGCTTATCTTGCTTATCTCCTGTCCCCCAATGGCACCCTTTAAAAGCTATCACAGCACCCTAGTTGCTAATCACTTTATTTATTAGGCTGTCTTTATGTGGGCTGCAACTATGATGTATTTCAGTACTCAATGTTAATTAAATTTGGAGACAGTTGTTACAAAACTGGGATGCTGTCTAGGCTGCACTCGCTTCCTGGAAAGCTGTGAGAAAAGGGTCATATCATGGGAGAGCAAATATTGGGAGAGCATCAAAAGGAATATTTCCCCCCACCCCCTTCTTTTATGTTCAAGTGTTAAAGGAAAAATAGGAAACAGAAAATCCAGTTGACAAGCCAGTTTCTCATCAACTTGAGGCCCATCTGTCTGTTCTGCAGGTAACATCCTTGTTCTGATGCTGTAAAGTAACACCTCTCTGGGGAAGTGGTGCACATGACCAAAGAGGTCTGTCTTGTGTCAGTGAAGTGCCAAACCTTGTAGGCCAGCATATTCTTTTAGTTAGCAGCCCACAGGCAGTTGTAAGGAGAGTGGTTCATCCTACTACTCACCCCCATAACACTGTACAGGTCTTGTTCTTGGAAGCTTATATTGGTCATATTGGAAACCACCATCAAGGCTGCCTGCTGAAGTGGTGTGTTGACTTTAGGTGCCATCTTTGAACGAATGGATTTGGAAATGGGTGACATAAGTGGAGATTTGCTGGGCAGAGGCATAAAATGGGAGACTAAGTCCGTGGCTTTTTTATGTTGATGAGACAGAATTATTCAGAGTGCTGTGCTTTTTCGATCTGCTTCGGTCTAGCAAATTTAATTCCTGTCCTAATTAATATAATTTTCTGTGTTTTGCAAAGAGTTGAACAGCAGTTGACAAATGATAGCTGCCATTATAGCTGATTCGATTCTGGCTATAAAGCTTTCCTGAGCATTAATGCTGAAGCAAAGCCTTAGTGTCTCAGTGAACCTATTAGGTTCAGCCTTAACTAGGAGTGTGTCAGACTACGTAGGTCTCTCTTCACTTTTAGTAGCTAGTAGAAGCCAAAGGTTTGTTTGGCTCTGCTACAAATATGGGCCTTGGATAGCATGAGGCAGCCAAACTGGATTTAGTTGGTGCGATTTATAGTGCTGTTTCTGCTAACTGGCGACCTTGACCACAAGGAGAAGGGCTGGCAAACTTTGAGCAGACCACAGGATTGGAATTGGGATTTACTTGCCTCGACAAAATGGTCACTTAAGACGGAAAGGATGGGGTCTGCTTTTAATTAAGTGAGCTGCCTGCTGTCGCTAGCAGGCACATGCTGGAGGCAAGAGATGCTCTTGAAATTCAGGCAAGCTATCCAGAGAATATCTGTCTGTTCCCATTAGTGAGGAGTGTTTCAAAGCTTGAGAGAGAAACTGGTCTTGAGGAGGAGAGGGGATATTAATACCTGATAAAATGACCCTCTAAAGTCTGTTGTGTGAGGGGAAGGTGAGACAGCAAGGACAAATTGTTTAACCAGATTCTTACCCAAGAGTCTGTCCGTCTGTCCGTCTGTCCGTCTGTCCGTCTGTCCGTCTGTCCGTCTGTCCGTCTGTCCGTCTGTCCGTCTGTCCGTCTGTCCGTCTGTCCGTCTGTCCGTCTGTCCGTCTGTCCGTCTGTCCGTCTGTCCGTCTGTCCGTCTGTCCGTCTGTCCGTCTGTCCGTCTGTCCGTCTGTCCGTCTGTCCGTCTGTCCGTCTGTCCGTCTGTCCGTCTGTCCGTCTGTCCGTCTGTCCGTCTGTCCGTCTGTCCGTCTGTCCGTCTGTCCGTCTGTCCGTCTGTCCGTCTGTCCGTCTGTCCGTCTGTCCGTCTGTCCGTCTGTCCGTCTGTCCGTCTGTCCGTCTGTCCGTCTGTCCGTCTGTCCGTCTGTCCGTCTGTCCGTCTGTCCGTCTGTCCGTCTGTCCGTCTGTCCGTCTGTCCGTCTGTCCGTCTGTCCGTCTGTCCGTCTGTCCGTCTGTCCGTCTGTCCGTCTGTCCGTCTGTCCGTCTGTCCGTCTGTCCGTCTGTCCGTCTGTCCGTCTGTCACTGAGTTACTTGTGGTTTTCCTTGCCTCTCTGAATGTTGAACCCATTCCCCAGGGGTATAGGTTGTACCCGTGTTGGTCTAAGGACATAGGCAGATGAGGTTATTTGGGTAAATCTGGTATCTTTTATTAGACCAACTCAGTTGGAAAAATTCTTCTTTGCAAGCTTTTGGTGCAAATACCTTTCATCAGGCTGAGGAAGAATCTGCAGTTGGTTTTTGCTCTTCCTGGATGGAATGAGTATTTGCAGATTATTGTGTAGTTTCTTGAATGTCTTCCTTTTGCCATTTAGAAAAGAGCAGTGCATTCAGGCATGCTTGGCCCCCCACTGTCCTGTTTAAGGATGGCTACTCTTCTGATTGTTGACAGGCCCTTGGGCTGCTGGGACTGTCAGTTTTGAATTAAGCTCTTGAGGAGTTCCAATCCTTTGCTCTCTTGTCCTACCCTTGGTGCACCAATACAACCACACAGCCGTTAGTGATGTTTCTTCTCCAGACCGAACTACCCAAGCAGACTCCAGCTGAAATCTCAGATGTGCAGCTTTAGCATTGTCTTGGAGAATCTGTGTGTGTTGTTAAATTTTTAGAGCACCTGCCAGAATTCTCAGCTGTCTGGTTTATTTTGATTTTTTTCCGAGATGTGCTTGTCCAAAATCAAGGCTAATACAGAAAAAAAAATTGTATCCATCATCCATCTTTAGATTGAAGATTAAGGACAGAATACAGAGCTAAAACAAAGAGGGTGAAATACTAACTCTTTAAAGTTCTACAATTAATTCAAAGTACTTTAAAAACTATATGCATGGTACTAGGGGCAACTTTCAAGTAAACCATGTCTTCCATTGCATGGAATCAGATGGGACTGATGCATCTGATGGGACAAATTAACCTTTGTCATTCCTGTATCTCTAATTCAAACAATAGTACCTATTAGTATCAGGATAATAATAGACTTCCCTGTGCAACCCAGTTAATGGTTTGAAGAGGCAAGTGGTTATGGGTTGGCACTCAAATTATCAGCTGAAAATGTGACTTTACATAGTTTTTGTATTTTCCTCTGAAGTCACTTGTATTCTCTCTAGCTTCTTACGCTACCTTCATCCCTGTAGTGGCCAAGTGCCTCACAGTAGTGCATTTAGAAATATCCCTATACTTCTTTGCATGTTCGCTCCTTCTTATTCTTCATGTTACTTGTCTTAATTTCTAGATCAAGCAGCAGAGTATGTCTCGGTGTGCCCTGTGCACTGTTCAGCAGAATAGTGGGCCTGATCCAGATTGCTGGTTCCCAATGTAATAGAAATAATTTTTAAAAAACAGAACTGTCCAGCTCCCCAGGGCAGAGCTAATCTAGTTGCTTCTAATGATGCAAGCAAGTGGATGTTTACAGCCAGTGTGATAGCAGCCTGTCCTAGAGCAGACACTCCTGAATTATATCCCTCTTGTGTGCTCTAAGCTGGGAAATGCATTAGGGAAGCCTTTCCTCTGAGTATCATTCTGCCATTCTCAGAGTGCTGAAGTGGGCACTAGAGATGACCCCAGACTAGCTTCACTGGTGCCTTGCTGCTGGGGCATTTGGAGGTGTCCCAGCTGGAACATTTTGTTCCTGAGATGTAGATGCACTAAATCTTGTAAATGTTGGACTAATACTGTAGATGGTACAAAGCTTTTAACCCTTGTGTCTCTTAAGATGCAAGTAGAGAGATTCTGCCTGGTGGTACTCTGGAGTTGTTTGGTGACAATTGCAGAGCCCTTCTATATGGTGCTGAATCTTCTTAGGAAGTACATTTCCCAAGCAAGTCTATCTTAGTAACAATCTATGGAAGGGAATAACTAAATTGCCTCTTGCTTTGCAGGTAAAGAAGAGATTCCCTCCAGATGAAAAACTCCATTGATCCAAAGATGCCATTAACATAGCTGGTTGGATACCACACCTATTTAATGCCTTAATATTTGCCTTGCATTCAAAATGGCTTATTCAAAGCCTTATTTTTTTTTTCCTATGTTACTACTTATACTAACAATGTGTCTGTATAGATTTATACCTCCTCTTCTCTGTTGTAAACTTGTACATGTTAATGAATTTCCACTGTTATGGAAAGATTTAATTGTTCATGGGATATGGATTTGATGGCAGCCTCTTCCTTTTTCACTTATGAGCTCTAGGGATCTTCCACACACACTAGATACAGTTCACAGCTACGTTCCATGTGACTGAAGTAGCAATAAAACCTAAAAAAGTGTGCACTAAAACTGTATGAGAATAAAAATGTTGCCACAGGTTGTTGGCATTTTTTTTACAAAGGGTTGTATTCTGAAGAGGCTTTGTCTTAAATTTCTCATTGTTGTACTTGAGAATAAAACAATCCGTGGCTTTATATGAAATGTTATTTTGAAGATTGTAAGAGTGTTCTTACAGCTAACTTTCTGGTTCAACTTTCTGCAGTGTTTAAGCTGGCAAGTTATGCAAAAAGTTAATCTTCTAAAATTTCAGAGCTTCTAGTATTCCTGTATTATCTAATGTGACTATTTCACCATGGCAGCTTGAGTGTAAGTTCTTACCTGGTCTACTTCAGGACCTACTTGGTGTTCAAAGTAGGATTCTGAGTGAGAGTAGTTAACTTTTCTTTTCTTGTAGCATTCAGGTCTTAAAAATCTCTGTGGCTGGACTTTTACTATGTAGCACAGAATAGTCTGGCAGCTTTTACAGACTGGGATTTAGCCTAATGAACCATTGAGAATGTAGGAAATAATTGTACTGATAGTAAAATGCCTTAATTATCCTACACCAAGTAAAGCATATAGCTAGGATTAAGCCACTTTATGAATTGTGTGTGCCTTGAAAATGTTTGATCTGTGAAAGATGTTTGAGAGAGTGAGCTCCAGAGCTAATGATGGCACCCCAGCGAATGTTTTGTTGCCTGTGGATTCAGTAGTGTAGACAAGATTACTATCTTCACCAGAGTGTAAGGGAAGATCCCATGCCTAAGTTAACCTGTCCCAGGCCCTCTAGGGCAGAGGTGTCAAAAGATGCAGCCCATGGAACCCTATCATTTGACCCACACTGCTGTCTGTGGGTCTTGGACCAGCCATGCACGCTGGATCTGGTGTTCAGGGCCAGCCTGTGGCCCTGATTTGGCACCTGGACTAGCCCTCTGCTATTTATCTGGCCTATGCAATGTGATAATTTTGACAACCTGTTCTAGGGTATTGATATCAAACCGTGTGGATTGACCCAGGACAGGGCAGAAAACATAAGGAATTACATGTTGCACCAAATAGTGCTTCTTCATAGTTTTCCGGAGTGTTTTCACTCCAGGTAGGGTGCATGACCCTTTGGGTCAGAGATGAAAGACACGGGTAAGTAGTGAGGGCCCTGAAGATCAGTCCCAACAGGAATTGCTTCAATAACACTGATGCTGCAAATACAGAGTTGGAACAGGGTGGTAAGTACCCAGTTAGGCTGTGGTTCAAAGTACCTAGTTTGTGTCTCCACAAATTTGTCCTTCCTATTGAATTGCAACTGTAATCACTCCTGAAACTCAGCATAGCTGTGGCTCTATCTTCATTATATAGAATGCCTAAACAGAGCTGGTTACAGTTATTCAAAAGGAGAAACAAAGGTGGTATTTTGCCTCATCACAGAAAGTGTGCCTTTGTTGCCCCAAGAAACAAGGCTAGGCCATTGCATAAAGAGGCGACATCCTAAGCAGCATAACATAGGATACAGTGGAAAATATACAGAAATAAGAGCTTTTACAAAATTATGAATGAGAGAAGTGGTGGGTTGGTGAGCTGGACTTGGGAGAGAATGGTTCTTGTTTGGGTAAACAATGTTCCTTTTCTACCTCAGAAAGGACTATTTAACTTGGTTCACTTCATGCAAATACTTGAAGGGTACACAAAACTATGCGTAGGTGTTACAAGTGGAAACGCTCTGTTTTCCAAGCAGTGCTAACCAAGGTTCAAACCAGTTATAATAGCCATGACTAATAACTGATTGATGCATGTTGTACAAAATATAAGTTACAGATTTAAAGATTTATCTGAAATTTGGTGCATGTTAAAGTGAGCAGTGAGGTTGGTTTCACCCTGAACCTTTTTTATTTTTAATTTGTTCTCATTGTGCCACAACACTGTAGAACAATGGTTGGCAATGTTAACTCAGCCCCTGCTGTAGAACAGATCTTCAAGGGAAGGTTCATAAGAAAGTAGGACTGGAAGGGACCTCACAAGGTAGGATCATCCCTGGTTCCAACCCAGCCACGACTTTCCTCCACTGCCTAGGTAAAGCCCTTCACCACTGAAACACTGCACTCTGTAGGTCGCTGATTCCTGCCTTAGAAGGCTGTTTAACTTCAAACGTGGGTACCCATAGTTGCAAAAATCTAGTCCATCTATGACTTGCAGATATAGGAAAACAGATGTGGGGTATACAAAGCAATTATCTGAGCAAATTAAAGTTAGGCTTCTAGGTAATTTGTACACACAGCTCAGGTTATGCAAGTGCAAGGAATGATGTTCACAAACTTCAAATCTGTTTCTACAAACTGGCATATAGGACAACATTGACACTTTCTGCAACAAATGAAATACTATGAGCAAAAGGTATGTTCTGAGCCTTAAGCTCAATGTGTGGCTTTTATGCATATCACAGACAGCTTGAATTTGTTTCTCTAAGCACACTGTATCCAGCTCTTGTATTATATACAGATGATTGCCATAATAATACATTAAAAAGCTTCAAGGCCAGGACAGACCAATCTATGCCCCCACCTTCCTACAAAACTGAAGAGAAAAAATCTTTGAAGATGGACACGTCCTTGATTTGTTCATCTGTATAAAACTACTACTGTACTGTGGTTTCAGGGCAAGTTGTACCACTGACCCTGTTCAAAGTGACACCTTTCAAGTAAGAGGCCCCATGCCTTCCCTCCTCTCCAAGGTGATTCTTATAATTTGTCCCACTTTCAATTAGATCTCCAGGTTTCAGCACCTCTTACTGTCTGTGTTTAGTTGCAAGGTCTGCTGTGATTAGCCTTGGCTACAAGCTTCCTTTGGGATTTGTATCAAGGGTCCAGGTATAGATCTGAAAGGGATTCACTTCTCTACTCTGACTTTGGAAGATGTTTCTTTTAAAAATCAGACAGCCCATTTGTTCTTTGCATTCACAAGTTGCCCACCATTCTGCTGCCATTAGCCAAGAGGTTATGCCCAAAACTATACAGAAATGAGACTTTGGGAGCTTTAACATCTGTACTGTTTTTTAAGCAGCAGTGATTGAGGCCATCTACTTCAGTTTCCTCTGTCTATGAAAAAAATCTATTAAGACTAGTGTGAAGTCTTTGCACCCATGTAGCAGATGGCATGATATTAATTGAACAGACTAATCAGATAGGCCCATAATATACATAAAAATAATACAGGTATGTCTCAACATTTTTGAACCAGTTTTCTGAAAACTGTTTGGGGCAGAAAAAAATTAGTTCGCTAAATTGATGCTTAAGATAAAGGGAAATTTGTGACTGGTATGACTGGTATGTATAATTTTTGCAGCTCATGCAAGTGCACTCTGGATCTTTCTCTGCATCAGGGTCCTCAGAAGTGACATTCATCCCATGAGGTCTATTCTGTCTTTCTTATACTTTTACATGGACACGGTGTTTGAAGCCTAAAATGTAAGCTTCATTACAAGAAATTACAGACTGCATATAACTATTGTTTTCTTCTGTTGTTGAGTATGATAGTCTAAATTAGACTGGTTAACCTTGGATGTTTCTTCTCTACAACTTCATTTACAAAGCAGGTATCAATTAAAGACCCCCGAGGATGTCTTAAAGACTCTGTTTGAGCACTGGTTTTTACTCTCTTTGAATGTTGTTAGTATGTCTATACAGCTTGTCTTGCTAACTGATGTTTTTACAGTAAGTTTTGAAATGAAAAATAAAATTATGCTTAAGAAATAATCACTAAAAATTGTTTGACTGGATTTGAATTTTATTCTCAACTATTTACAAGTCCTACAATGTAGCATTATAGGGCAAGCGAATGAAAGCCTGTAAGTGTAAACCAACTATAAAATGACTTTTACAGTTGCTTAGAAACTGGAAATGATGCTTTTAAAACATATTACAAAATTTGCCTCTGTTTTGAAACAGAAACTAAGCACACTTAAAACCGAGATGTTTCAACATAGTGGAACCTTCTCCCCACTTTTATTCCAAAATCAAATTTTAGTGGGATGGGGCCAGTTTTTCAAAGGGTCGGGATTTCAGTGGAACAGCACGGTCTGATGGAATACTTTTTTTTTTTTTTTT